GTGTTTTTGCTGAGGCTGCATCCCGGAAGGTGCAGTTGCAGTTGGGAAAGGTGATATCTGATTTCAAAAGAAATGAGCTTTTGCTAACTCTGCATCGCGGAAGTTGAGTGGTAAGTCGATAATTTTATGCTGGTCTGACTTATTGTGAAATAAGTCGATTGCGAAATGTCCCAAGAGGTGGGGTGTTGTTGATCGAGAGTTCTTAATTAATTGTGTGCTTAAGACTATTTTATGTCCGGGGTGCTGACACACCGCTATTTGTGGAGCACCGTGGCTAGAGCCATTGCTCGTTAGCTCTGTGTATATCAGTTTGGTTATTGTCTCCCGCCAGCGTGGATGCGCTGACCCTCCGCCGTTTGTGACGAGCCATGGCTAGAACCATGGTTCGTTACACCCCCCCTTTCTTCCGGGTGGGTGATGGAGAGATTAGTGGCGTCGCTTGGCGGGTGTTGAGGATCGCCTTTTTACCGGGTTATCCTGTCCTTTGGCTTGTGCCGAGTCTTTGGATTCGTCGGTGTTAATCTCGTCACTTTAGCGTGGCGTCGGTAACGTTATATTTTCTACTGCTGCTGTGATCGTGGAAGTTTTTCTTCGGTTCTGGGTGCTTTGTAGTTGGTGTCTGCTTGGTGGGTCGATTATCCCATATGACGATGGTTTTCTCGGCGGTTTTCTTCGGTCGTTCTTTGTCCAGGCATTCTTGAATCGGCGGGGCTATGTCGGGTGGCCAAGGATCCGTCGGTAGTTCTGGGTCGTCTTCGGTGGGTTCGGTGGCTCCGGGGTCAAAGGTTTGATTCGGGTCTTTCGGTAGGATGGGTCTGTCGAATGTAAATGCTTGGATCTGCGGGGCCAAGTCCGGCGGCCACGGCTCCGGGACTGGTTCGGGCTCATGTCCGGTTGGATCGGCGGCTTCGGATTCAAATGGCTGGCTGGGGTCTTCGGGTAAGAGGGTTGTGTCGAAGGCGCTGGGCGTTTCGATCCTCCATTGGTAGTCGCTTATGTGGGCGACGATGGGTGTGGTGTCGACCATGGGTATGATGTTTTGGTACGCCGGGTGTAGTACTCGTGTTATATTGTATTGTATTGTTTGTTTATTGTATTTCCTAGTGCTACAAGCAAGGGGCTTATAATTAGAGCACTAGTCACTAGGTGTCACATTAGTTTGGGATTAAACTTAGATCTAAATTAATCTTTTAATATGACGTACTAATAAGTGGTTACATATATTGATTTGTTTTCTTATGCTTATGTTCGTGTTATTTTATTTTAAATTGAATTTGATTTTTAAATCTTAGTCTAGTGTAAGGTGGGCACCTAACTGTGTTTTGAATTGTGAAAGGTTTCGTATTGTTTTCATGTGATGTGGAAGATGATTCCATATGCGAATAACATTCACAAAGAAATGTCTCTCAGAGTTTAGTGTTCTATATCGTATGGTGATAATATTGTTCGTTCTTGCGGAATTGGTAAATCTTAATTTTTCATACAGATATTGGGGTTGTCTGGTGAGGATTATTTTATGTAGGAACGTAAGCATCTTATAGTCAATCCATTTGAAAAGAGTCATGTCGAAAATTTTATATGAGAATGCAGAGATTCTGTCGCTGCGCCTTAATCTAAATATGTATCTAGCTATATTATTAAAGCAAACGCTCAACTTTTGCCTGTTTTCGTAGCCACAGTTTCCAAATGCCTCAATCCCATAAGTGAGTACAGGTACTAGGTATGCTTTTTGCTATCTGCATCCGGATGCTAACTGGTATAAATTGCTTGGTAATATTAAGTGCCCTTAAGATCCCATATGTTTTTCCAACTGCTTTGCTCACATGATCATCCCACGACAGAGTACTATTTATTATAAAGCCTAAATTAGTTGTCTTCTCTATGTAGCTAATGGGAGTGTTTGATATTTCTACACGTCTCAATATAGTTTCATTTATTTTTTTCTTGTTTTTGTATATAATCAAGCATTTTGACTTTGTTGGATTGAGGCATAGACGATTTTTGGTTGCCCACGCACTAATTTTCTCAAGCTCTCTATTGGTAACATTTATACACTCATCTATTCGATTTAACGGTCGACTAACATATAATTGGACGTCATCGGCGTACATGTGCACTTTACAGTCGGACAATACTATTGGCAAATCATTTATATAAATGGAGAACAATATCGGGCCAAGTACTGATCCCTGTGGGACACCACACTTAACATAGGCAAAGGACGACATTTTTCCTTCAGCAACAACAGCCTGGCTCCTATTTAGCAGATAGGATGATAGCAACCGTACTGCAGAGTCAGAGAAGTTGTAGGATTCGCGAAGCCTTGCGATGGGGATGCGATGGTCAACTGAGTCAAAAGCTTTAGTGTAGTCAAGAAGAGTTAGGAACGTTACATTTCCGTCGTCTATTCTTTCACGGATATCCTCTACAATTTTTATACCCGTACTCAAAAAAGAGTTAAGGGGTATATTAGATTTGTGGTAAAAGTGGATGTGTGCAACGCAGAGAAGGAAACGTTTCCGACCCCATAAAGTATATATATTCTTGATCAGCATCAATAGCCGAGTCTATATAGCCATGTCCGTCTGTCCGTCCGTCTGTCCGTCTGTCCGTCTTGATGAGCGCCTGGATCTCAGAGACTATAAGAGCTAGAGAAACCGAATTTGGTTTCCAGACTCATGTGATATCACACTGCTACAAGTGTATTTCAAAATTTCGCCCCGCCCCCTTCCGCCCACACAAAGAACGAAAATCTGTGGCAGGCACAGTTTTAAAGATAGGATAAAACTAAAAACGTAGTATCGTAGAAAATGCCCATATCTACCAGATTGCCGAATCTGAATCAGATCGGATTATAATTATAGCCAGAATGAAGAAATTAATTTTTAGTTGCTTCCCCTCCCCCTCCCGCCCACGACACCGCATCTCATTTTCCTTCTCGCTCGCACATTCTGCCGCGTTCAGTGCGCGAGCAACCCCTAGCGGAGGAGGTGTAGAATATGAATGGAACATGTACAATCTACATGTTAGATGTAGAATATACATTGTATATGTAGATGTAGATATCATATGTAGCTAAAAAATGTAAAATGTAAAATTTTTTTTTTTTCTAAAATTCTTAAAAATCATAAGCTCAAAAATGTATATACTGACTGAGTACGGGTATAAGTAGAGTCGCGTCCCCAGAAGCGACTCACACGTTCCTTCTCGTTATCATTGCAGTTGTGCAACTTCTATTTGTTCTGAATCCAGATTGATTGTTGTTTAGTAATGTGTGCTCTGTAAGCAATGAATTTATTTGTTTAGCTACCAAGGTCTCGAACGCTTTTGACAGGGTCGGGAGTATGGATATTGGCCTATATTCTGCAGAGTTTGCTTTTGGGATAGGGATTATTTTAGCCTCCTTCCACTGTTCCGGGAACGTTGATGTGGTAATGGCTGTGTTGAAAATGTGAGTAACGTGCATGATGATTCTAGGGAGTATTATTCTCAAAAATTTCGGGTTCATATCGTCTAGGCCAGTAGCATTTGATTTAATCTTATGAATGGATTCTAGAACATCACAAGGACTAACACAACAGAAACTAAAGCTAGGAACAGTATAATTATAGGGCGCTGATGTCAAGTTCAGGGTTGGTGTTGGGTCCGGTACAACTAATTGCAAAAATTTTTTGTTAACTTCATTTACGTCCATGTCAACTAGTGAGTTTCTTGTTTTTTTTGCCAATTCCTATACTTTTAATCACTTGCCATTTCTGCTTGCTACACTGAGCGTTGTTAAACTTTGACGAGTAGAAGGCGGTCTTAGCAGAGTATATTAGTTTAGTTACGTTTGATCTTAATGATTTGTACATATTAAAGTGGCTTTCAGTCTTATATCTTTTAAATTTTTTAAAAGCCTCATTTCGTTTGATGATACCCAGCTTTATCTCCGGGTTGAACCATGAGTTATCTGTTCGTTTGACTGTCTTTCTCTTAATAGGTACATGTTCACAGTAAAGATAGTCAATGTTTGATTGAAGTTGGGCAAGCTGAGAATTTACAGACAACATATAATGTATTGACGTCCAGTCAAGGATGCTAATGTCAGTGTGTAGTTTTTCAAGGTCAATGTTCTTGAAGTCTCTGTAAAAGGTGTCATAATTATCGTAGTCAGGATTAAAATCGTAGGTCAAGAAAATAAGGTCATGTTTTGAATACCCTGGTGCTGTGAGTTGGTCATATAGTAGAATTTTGTCCGTACTGTCGACAAAGAATAGGTCTAGTAGTGTGTTTCTTGTTTTTGTAAAGTGTGTGGGGAGCTGGTGGTTCACTATATTTAAGTCAAGGCTCAACATGCTATCTGCTAATGAGGATTCTCTAAGAATATCACAATTAAAGTCACCTGCTAGGATTACGTCTGTATAAGTCAAGGAAATGTCAGTAATAAGTGATGTCAGGTCTGAGTAGTCAATGTTTCGATTTGGTCGATATATGCAACCAAGAAGCATCTTTCTTCTATTGATGGTGATCGTTAGAAATAAGTATTCTATGGCAATATCTGGTCCTTGCTTACAGAGGATTTTTGCGGATATCTTGTTATTTATGTAATTTGCAACGCCCCCGGCATGCCCTACACGATCAGAACGAAATACATTGTATCCTCTACATTCAATTAACGAGTCACTTAAGTCGGGGACAAACCAAGTCTCGGACACACATATAACATCCACACCAGAGTCGATAAACATATGTCTGAATTCGTCAATTTTTTTTGTCAGGCTTTGTGCATTGATATGGCAGATTTGCAGACCCGATTTTTGCTTCACCAGAATTCTGAGGACCTGAGATGTATTCACATTTGTTAGTTCTAATGAACCGTCCATATCAAGTGTGTTTTAACACAACGAAAAATTTCATTACAGTAAGTACAGTTAAGGGCCCACTTAAAAATAAAATACAGGAAGGTGGTTAGATGGGTAATACTTATAGCTAACATGAAAAATTTGCTTATGGTTATATTATTGACGAAACGAGCTATTCTCGTCTCCAGCTGCAGGGCTCTCAGTAGCAGCTTGCATCTCCCACAGATCCTCAATTTTGAGAACTTCCCAGATCTCACTTTCTTGGGTCACTTTGACGTGAACCATACCCCTGCGCGTAAACACGGATTGCAGCTTCCGATGCTTCTTCATTTTCAGAGCTTCTCTAAAAATCTGGTAGTTTTCCCTGGTAAGCTGCTCGTTGACATATACTGGGGCTGGTGAGTTTAGGCCGAGTAACTGCAGAGTTAGGGGCTGCTTGGTTTCCCGCCTGTACATACCGATGTTGCGCAGTAATGCCGCTTTGTCGCGCACCCGTTCCAGCTTGACAATGATGATGGGGTCAACGATGGAGTGGGAAAGATTTTTGTTTGGCCTCATACGATAGATATCCCTAATAGCAGGCGCAGGCGTGTGATTTAGGCTGAGGCACAAGTTGTTGAAGATATGTTTCAGCTTTTCACCTTCGACGTACGGAACTCCATGGATCCTCAGGTCGCATGCGACATTGGCCTTAGCCTGTGCATCTAGTTTTAACAAAAGCTGGGCTTCCAGATCCTCTACCTTTTTTGTAAGGTTTTGAGTCTCACCCAGCCTACTTTCTAGAAACTGGACTCTCTGTGTGAGATTCTGGATCTCACCAGCCATACTATTAAGCTTGCCTGTTAGCAAACTTAACAGCCGCTCTTCTGCCTCATTCATCTTTGTTGAAATGAGACTGACTTGCTCCTCAAATCGTTGGTTCAAATGCTGAACCAATTCCGGGCAGGCGTTTCTGATGTACGCGGTCCCTTCAGATTTGTTCCAGTATTTTCACGCAGACGTTTTGAGACAGGCTGCATTGTTTTGATTATGTGCTTTAACAGAGGCGAGGCTATACAGAATGTTGGTGCACTATTGGTGGGCGCCCTCTAGCGCGAGCTTTTGCAATATGCGTGGCAGATCGATCGCTAACAGCTGTGTAATGTCACCTCTAGCGCTGTTGTTTTCGTTGTTTACGTTCGTACTCACGTTTCCCACTCAGTATTAAGTGAAAAATTTCGTTTCCCGCTTTTTCCGTGCCTTCCTTTGCCAAGTTTGAGCTACTTTCGAGTTACTCGATGACCAGTTTTTTAAAAACAATAATAAGCCCACGGGCCAGCCGGTGGTGATCCGCTGACAGTGCTCTGATGTTGGTAAGCACCTTATATCTGTATTGACCAGCAGCTGATGTGTTGTTGTTTGCAGGTTTCGCCGAAAAAGCACTTGTTGACGGAGCGTGTAACTTGCACGTCTATTCTGATTGAGTGATACTGATACTACTACAGCCAGACTGGTACGTGAACAGGTGCGTCGCGATGACCCCTCTGGTATCGCAGCAACGACTTGTGTGGGCGACGAAGATCTCGGACAAGGCTCTAGGCATGGCTCGCTGCATGGCGCTAAGAATCATGTCAGTACGCGGAAGGTACTCCATTGTGTTGGCGAGGATCGGTGTGGCGTCGGCCGTGGGTCGGACAGGACGGCTGTCTGGGCATCGTGCTGGTTTCCGGGCCCTCGTTGAGGGGCTCTGTGGAGATCAGTTCGATTATGGGTCCCGTCCAGCGTGGGGTTAGCGTGGCTGTTTCCCGTGTGGCTGGGCTGTCGGATGGTGGTGGCCGTTGTCCTTTTTCGCTGCTGGCGGTCGGTTTTGAGGGTGTCCGTGCGTTCCCTGCTTCCGATGCGGTTTCTCTGCGAGCTTGCTCTGTTGCTTGTCTTGGACCTGGGCTTCCTGTGTCGAGCGCCGGGTTCAAGTGTGTTTGTCTCGTGTGTAAGATCCTCGTGGTTTGTTTGGGGTGTGTGTCCCCTGTGGTTGGCCTAGGACGCGGTTGCTTGGTCCTGATTGCTTGGTTACGGTTTGCTGGTGTTGACCTTGTATTCGGGTTCTCCGTAGTGTGCCGTTGCTTCGTATTCGTCGCGATTGGTTTGGGTGTCAAGTGCTGCGTTGCGTTATTGGGTGCCCTGTGCGTTGTGGTAGGTCGTGGACGTGGGTTCGTTGCGATTTGTTGGGGTTTCTGGTATCGAGATTCGGCGTCTTGTACGTGGATGGTAGCCGATTGTGGCTTCCGTTGCGTATCCTTCTATGGTCACCCTCGCCACTATCCGGCCGTTGCTTACGTGTAAAGAGTTATTTAGTCGCGGGTTGGAGGAGGCGTCGTTCCCGGCTGATCCCGTGTCAGTTGGGGACGCATGTCGTTTCCCGACGTGTTTTGGCGGCAGCAATTTACGGTCCGTGTGCCGCGTTTGCCACATTCCCAGCAGAATAGGATGGAGGGATTATGGCAGTCGTATGCCGCATGCCCCGCTTCACCACACCGGCGACAGGCTGCGCGTGGGTTGGTGATGGGGGTCGTGATCATGCGATGGGCTACTTCGGGATTCGCCGTACTGTTTGGATTAGCTGGTGGTCTCCCTGGTGTGTCTGTCGATTCCCAATGGGGACTAAGAAATGCCGTCTAGTGCGAGTCGCAATTCCTCTGCTCTGAAGCCGGCCTTGCGTATCTTGGAGTGTTACGCGGGGGTGCGAAAGTGGTCGGGATGGTCCGCTTTTGGATGATCTCGAACTCGGTGGCCAACATTGTGAGCTGTGATAAGCTTTGTAGTTCGTGTCGCCGCACATACATCTGGTATGCTGGCAGGGCGTTGTCGTAGATCCTGTTCAACTCCTTGGAGGCGTCGTACCCGGCGTGGTGCATGAGTAGCCGTATCTCGATGAGGTAATCCTTGAACAATTCTCCTCTCGCTTGCTTGCGGGCCCGGATACGGTCTTCCAATTGTTCGAAGTACCGTGGCGGCAAGAAGAAAGTCAAGAATTCTTGGCGGAAATATGCCCATGAGCTGCCTTGTAGTTGGCTGGTGCGGTATCAGCGACTGGCCCGATCGGTGAGAAGCTCTGTCATGGCCCGAGGTAGCTGATTTGTGTCCACCCCATATGAGAGCGCACGCTCTTCGAGTAGTTCCAGAAATGTAAGTCGGTCGTCCTGTCCGTCGAACCTGATTCCCCATTTCCGAATCTGTTCCGCGAGGTGGGCGGTGTGGCTGTGGTGTCGTCCATCTATGGTGACCAGCCGGTGGTGACTCCTGGATTGGTATGGTGTTCCTCAGGGTAGACTTCATCGGGTTGGCCGTCTCCGTGAACTTCCATGGTGTGTTTCTGCGGTTAGTAGCACTGACTTACGTTTTGTTTGTGGTACTTCTGTACTGTAGCACTTTTGCTTGCGACCGGATTTTGCGAGGGTGCCTGGTTTTGTGCTGGACGGGTATTAGTCCTTGCTAGCCTAGTTTTCTTTCAGTGGCCGTGGGTCTTTACTCCACAAAGCTCCGTATTAAGGTGTTAGTCTCATTAAAATCACCAAAAGTCCCTGCTCGGGCGCCACTTGTGAGGTCCTATTTCAGGCTGAGGTATGCATCAGTCTGTCGAGGGTCCGCTACAAGAAAATTTGTAGTTTGTAGGTGACTTCAGGTGTCGGGCTGGCTTGCAAAAGAATAAAGTAGGCAGCGAGAAATGATGAGGCGACGGTTTTGTTTGTTGGATTTTTCTTGGTTTTTATTTAGTATTCTGTTTTTCTTCATTCACTTAAATTCTGCTACTTTGACTCGTAGTTAAATGGTGCTCTGGTGGACTGCGTAGTGCAGTGTCTTGGGTGTGTGACTGAGGGACTGCCTAGTGCAGTGTCTTGGGTGTGTGACTGAGGGACTGCCTTGTGCAGTGTCTTGTGTTTGGGCTGATGGACTGCCTGCTCTTTCGGCCGATCTTGGCGCTTTTATGCAGCTGCTGATCGCACCTGAGACCCGGAAATAATTGCTTATTGCTAACTTATGATTATTGTGTGACAATAATTGTGGGGCGTGGTAATCGGGTCGAAGCTGGGTGCTTCGTTGACAATTGCTTAGTGGGTCAGTGTGTTTTGATGAAAGTGTTTTTAGCTGAGGCTGCATCGCAGTAGTTGGGAATTGGGTTTTTGCTACCTCCGCATCGCGAAGGTGATATCTGTGATTCGAGGCCGAGTGGTTGCGAAATATCGCCAAGAAGTGGGTGACCGAGAATTTTGTGCTGTGTTTTTCGCTGATCGAGAGTTCTTAATTTTGGTAATTGCGTGCGTTGCTTAAGACTATTTTATTTTCCGGAGTGCTGACACACTGCTTTTTGGGGAGAACCGTGGCTAAAGCCATGGTTCGTTAGCTCTGTGTATATCAGTTAGATTATTGTCTCCCGCCAGTGTGGATGCGCTGACCCTCCGCCGTTTGTGACGAGCCATGGCTAGAACCATGGTTCGTTACACAGTGCTTCGGCTTTAGTCCAGCATTCCTCGTACTCGGTCGGGAACCACGATTGCCAGGAGCACTTAACGATGAAGTGACCCCAGGAATTGGAGACGAATTGTACGAAGGACGTACAATCTTCGGAGACGAGAATGACTCACACTGGGATCGATGGTCCTTCTCCGCCAACATCACCTGTCCAAAGCATCTGCCGGTTTCACAGCGAAACTGGCCCCTAAGTACGACGGACCGTACAAGATCGTCAAATTCGTATCTCCCAACATAGTTCGGCTGCAAACCCAGCAGGGAAGGCAAGGAAAGACCGCGAGCTTGATGGACGTGACGGCATTCCATGCGATTGACGACGTCGACCCGGCACAGACGACACCGAAGACGTGAGCACGGATAGCGATGATCAGGACACAATCCTGCGCGGTCACGACAGCCCGGTTTCCACCCTGATGGTCGCTCCCGTCTCTGGCTACCAAGGAAGCACTATTGCCCCGAGTTCCAACGATGCAACCTCGCCCCGCCAGCCAATTAGGAATCCCCTCTTTAGGCAGAATGGGACCTAGTAAACCCCATGCAGGCCGAACCACTCGGTAGGGTGTGAGGTCCTCTCTCAGGCTGAGGTATGCATCAGTCTGTCCAGGGTCCGCTACAAGAAAATTTGTAGTTTGCAGGTGACTTCAGGTGTCGGGCTGGCTTGAAAAATGCAGAAATGATGACGCGAGAGTTTAAGGTTTGGTTGTTTCTTGGTTTATTCAGTATTTTTTCATTCACGTAGTTCTTAACGTTGATACTCTGGCTTGTAGTTGTATGGTGCACTGGTGGACTGCGTAGTGCAGTGTCTTGGGTGTGTGACTGAGGGACTGCGTAGTGCAGTGTCTTGGGTGTGTGACTGAGGGACTGCGTAGTGCAGTGTCTTGGGTGTGTGGCTGAGGGACTGCCTAGTGCAGTGTCTTGTGGTTGGGCTGATGGACTGCCTAGTGCTGTGTCTTGTGTTCGGGCTGATGGACTGCCTACTCTTTCGGCCGATCTTCGCCCTTTTATACAGCTGGCGATCGCACCTGAGACCCGGAAATAATTGCTTATTATACCCGTACTCAAAAAAGAGTTAAGGGGCATATTAGATTTGTGGTAAAAGTGGATGTGTATAACGCAGAGAAGGAAACGTTTCCGACCCCATAAAGTATATATATTCTTGATCAGCATCAATAGCCGAGTCGATATAGCCATGTCTGTCTGTCTGTCTGTCTGTCTGTCTCGATGAGCGCCTAGATCTCAGAGACTATAAGAGCTAGAGCAACCAAATTTGGTTTCCAGACTCATGTGATATCCCAATGCTACAAGTGTATTTCAAAATTTCGCCCCGCCCCCTTCCGCATCCACAAAGGACGAAAAGGCAGGCACATTTTTAAAGATACGATAAAACTAAAAAC